GTGTCTGGCCGGGCTGAGCGCCCCGGTGTGCCCGGTGGCCAGCAGGGCCAAGTGCCTTGGTGTGCCCGGTGGCCAGCAGGGCCAAGCACCCCACGCTGCGCCCCGTGTCCCCCACTCACCTGCAGGATGACCCAGTGCCCCTGCGTGGCTGCCACCTCCAGGGCCCGTTCTGCCACGGCCTCCTGGCCCTGCCCCAGCGACACGTTGTGGATCCTCCCGTTGTCGATGGTGAAGTTCAGCTTCCTGCCTGGGGAGGGAAGGGCACCGCCACGGGGTGACTCCTGCTTGGTGAGCATCGGTACAGAGACGGGGCTGCGCAGCTCCGGCCGTTCGCTCCAGCCAGCAGCAGCACGCAGCCCCCTGGGCCGGCGCCGGCCAAGGAGGGGGCAGGGGCTTACCCAGGGCCTCCACGTCTTTCAGTGGGTCAACGCCAGGGGAGAGAATGAAGAACAGGGGCGTGGAGGGGCTGCTCTCCTTGTATGCCTTGAAGAGCTCAACGCTCCTTCCTTCCACAAACTTGCTCCCCATCTTCTCCTCCACAAAGTTCCTACAGAAAAATGAAACCACAATGTGAGTCAGGAACAGATGCGGTCGCCGGGCGCAGCTGGCCCAGTGATGCTGTGGGGCTCTTGGTGGGAGAGCGCCGCGCGGCCGCCGTCGCACCGGATGGCGTAGGTCATCCTGTCGGGCCGCATGCACCGCAGCATGCACAGCTTCTGCAGGGCTGACTTGTTCTTCCACTCCTTGGGGAACACCTCCTTCTCCGGCACCTCGGACTCCACAAACTTTTTCCATCGCTTTGCCGAGCCCTCAATGTCGCTGTCCAAGTTCTTGAACTCTTCCATTTCCGAGAGCACCTTCGGGTCGGGCAGAGAAGGGCTAAACCACTCCTGGGCTCTGCTCGCCCCCCAGGCACGCCCTGGCTGGGGGGGCCCCGCGGAGCGGAGCCGCAGCCAGGGGTCCCACAGCCCTGCCTCACCGGCCCAGGCAGGCTACCAGACCTGCCCTCCGCCAGCCACAGCCATGCTGGGGGGCCCAGGGGCATCCCCAGGGTACCGAGGATGCTTGATGAAATGGGGATGCTGTGTGCAGGCCGGCGGGGCATCGCTCGGACACCCCCGGCCTCACGGGCAAGGAGTGGGGCACACGGGGGACACTGACAGTCCAAACTGCTGCGGGACACAACCTCGCCGCTGCCTCCTCCTGCCGGTGCGAGCAGCCCGTCTCCGCCTCCCCTCGGCCCCCGCACCCACGCAGACCAACCTTGATGCCGCCCCAGCCCTGGGGCTGCAGGAAGTCCACGGGGGACACAACGCCAGCCTTGGATGGGAAGCGCAGAAGAAAGTTCAGCTCTGCCGGGTTCACTTCTTTCTTGATCGTCAGGACCTGGCGAGTGGGGAGCGCAGCGTCACGACCGCCCTGGCACGCACGGCCTCGGCGCGAGGGGCTGCGCTCCGGGGGAGAAGCTGCTGAGCACCCAGCAGCAGCACAGAAGCAAGAGAACAACCTGCCCAAAGCAACATAGCGTACAGGGTTGTACAAGAGAAGCCCCAAACATCGCACGCATTACCTGGAAGGCGACCTGGGCCAGGAAAATGAGTTTGTCTCTCTCAAAGAGCCCCCGGGCGGTGTATGTGTAGACAGAGTAGGTGATCTCATCCGTCAGGTTGACCACCCTTTGCCTGATGTCGTCGTCGGGGGCCGTGCGCTGAATGGCTTTCTCAAAGACACCGTTGAACGCCTGAGGAGCAGGGCAGGCAGCTCAGCACCCGGGCTGCTAGCTGTTAGCAGCATAAATGCTCAAACACCGAACCCTGAGACCCCCCCGAACCCTGCCCTGCCCGTACAAACCCGTCCCTGCCTTGCTCCTCATCTACCTTGAGAGAGAACTGGTAGATGGGGTTGATCTTGTTGAGGTCACTCAGGATGAAGTACAGCAGGGACGCTCGCTCCGCCGCTGGCCTGTAGTTCTCTCTAGCGACATTTATTTGGACTTCGGTGACTTTAGACTCTTTCACCTTGGTGCGCACACAAGTGGGTGTTATCCAGCGTCCTGGCACGAGCCAAAGTGGCACCCAAGCTCCCGCTGAGCGCCGGGTGCCTGGCGTGGCCGGCAGAGCTCTCCCGCTGCCCGTGGCTCTGCAGCACCAGCTCCAGGGCAGCTTGCTTACTTTTTCCTCAATCTCCATGGCCGTGCGCTTCGTTGTTTCCAGGTTCTCCACCAGCGCCGTGTCCCCCAGGAACTCCCCCCCGGCAGCAGACAGCCGGGCGAGCAGAGAGTCCTCCAGCTCCTTCAGCTTGATCTTGAACTCATTCTGGCTCTTCGTGAGGTTTGCCTACAAGCCCAGTGCCCCAGAGAGACGCGCGGCATTCAGGAGACCGCGGCGAAGCTCTGGCATCGGTCGCGGTGGCTTACACCGGGTGCTCCCTAACGAACCGCGTGCAGCAGACCGTGAGCCAGCAGCAGACCTGCTGTCTCCATCTCCCACCGATGATGTCCTGCCCTTAGCGATGCAGCCCAGGCAGCGCACGAGGTGCCTGTCAGTTGAGCCCCCAAGGTTTTCGTGCTGTCACCGAGGTGCTCGGCCCCTCCTGGGACACACGGTCACCCGTGGGTGAAGCGGGAGCGCATCACAGCAGTGCCAGGCTCCGCAGGGCAAGAGCGGACCCGCAGCCGCCCATGCAGCCGGGCAGGCTCTGAGCGGGACTCGGCTCTCCATAAGCAGCAGCAAGCTCGGGGGGCTGAGATCCCCGCCGACAAAGCCACCGCAGCTCCCCCGGCCACGCTCAGCTACCATCTCACCAGCAGCCGGGTTCGTACCTTCAGGGTCTCCAGGTCCGGCCGCTCTTTGGCCACCACAGCAGCCAGGAGCTGGTCCTCCAGTCCCTCCCGGGTCACCAAGAAGTTGATCAGGGTGCACTGAGCCTGCACCTCTGGCTTGTAGTGCGGGTTGGAATATTTGGTGTGCAGGATCAGGCGGAAGCGCGGGTGATATTCCACTTCTTTGTCTCCGATCCTAATGTATCTGTGCCGTTAATGTAACGAATCAGTTTCTGTATGTCTGGAAGTAACTTGTCAGAGACGGAAACCCTCAACCCCGCGCGCTGCTCCCGACCCCTCGAGATGCTCTGGTTGGGAAAAGGTGCAGCAAGGGCCCCAGTGCCGAAAGAGCCCCGGCGGGGCATGGGCCGGGGGAGCCGAAGGAGCTGGCAGCGCCCTGCAGCTCTTGGGTGGCTCCTGGCCCTGCGCTGCTCGCGGGCATCGTGCCATGGTACAGGGGGAGGGCGGCACAGCTCCCTCCCCAGCAGCTCCAGAGCCCCCTCCCCACAGTCCCAGGGGACCAGCACTCACCAGACCCAGGGGAAGGTGGCCAGGGGGGTCAGTGGTGGCCAGGGAAGGTGGCACCGCCTGCAGCCGGGCTGGCAGTGCCGAGCGGGGCGGGGGAGATGGGGCAGGGGGTTCCCAGCCAAAGCTGCATCACAGAACAGCTCGTGTCGGCCCGGAGAGCCCTCCCAGTCTATCCCACCGTGCTGCTCCTCACACACCACTGAATGAACCGGACTCTGCTGACCAGAATGGTCCAAAACCTCACATCAGCTGCCAGTGGTCCCACTGGGAAACACCCAGAGAAAACCAGGGGACGTGGCCAGACGTTCTCATGTGCTTGGGGAAGGATCGGGCCCCAGCTGCCATCACGCAAAGGGGCATAAATCGGCATTTTGGGGCAGCAGTGGCTGTTCGGAGCGGGTGAAACTCCTCAGCACCCGAGAACAGGGTGTGCTGACCTGCCCTTCTTGATGGTGTTCCTGCCCAGCAGGTGGTCCAGCACCGGCTCCACTGTCTCCCCGATGTCCTCGATCAGCAGCGTCTGTCCTTCGGAAACCGCCTGCTCGATGGTGTCCAGATAGCTGCGGCCGAGAGGGGCGGGGGGCGCGGTGTGGGCTGAGCGCAGGCAAACGCCCTCGGCCGCTGCGCCCCAGCGGGACCCCCACGGTGCTCTGCCAGCACCAGCCCCGCAGACCCCACGGCGGCGCCGGGAGCTGCCATCAGCGCCGCTCCCTCCCGGTGGCAGGGGAAGGGGGGCCGCTCCGCCCCGAGCCCGCAGCCGCCCCGCCGCCCCCGACCCACCTCCTCTGGCCCAGGCGGATGGCCCGCAGCTCCTCCCCGTATTTGTTCTTGATCCACTTGATGCCCTGGAGCTGGGCGTCCACGATCAGGGGCCACCGCTGGGTGTTGCAGAGGATGGGGGCATTCTCGATGGACGTGCGGTCGCTGGGCAGCCCCTGGTTGCTCCAGGCAGCCACGTCAGCAGAATCGGTGAGGAGGCTGAGGGGGTCCAGCCCCGGGGTGATGGGGATGGGGACCTGCCAGGGAGGGGCCATTCGGTGCCTGCCCGGGGAGGAGCGGGGGCCCCTCGGAGCCGGCAGGCATGGGGGGATGGAGCCCCAGGCACCCCGGGATGGGACCCGTGGCCGCTCACCGCCAGCCCGCTGAGGAAGGGAACCCAGTGCTTCTCCAGCAGCTCAGCCCTGTACTTCTTGGTGAAGTAGCCGACATAGGAGACGAAGGCGGAGACCAGCAGCACGTCCCCGCACAGCGTCTTCTCCTGCTCCCTCAGCATCTCCACCGACTCAGCCCAGCGGACGTTTTCGGATGCCGGGCCCCCGATGAGCCTGGGTGGGGGAAGAGGAGCCAGGGGCTGCTGCGGTGCCGCTGGTCTCTGCCCCCGGCGGTGGGCAGGGCAGGGGGCTCCCCCCCCCGGGGCACACAGCTCCGCGGCAGCTTTCCCCCCGGAATTTCTGGCCCAATTCATACTTGGGATTTTTTAATTTTGGGGGGGAGGGAGGGGCTCTGATGCTTCCATGGCCCCCGTGTCCTTGTCCCCGGGCACTGCCAGGGAGCAGCAGACGGTCCCCTCGCTTCCAGAGCCAGCGCTTGCACGGTACCTGTTTGCCAGCGTGATGACCCTGTTGGTGGCGTCAGCCTCCTGCTGACATTTGATTTTTTCAGCTGTAGCTTTCTCAAATTCTGCGGTGAGAGCTGCCAGGTTGGCATTCAGGTCCTTCAAAAGAGAATGTGTCTGCAGTTACCAAATTGCTGGAGGCTCACGGGGGCTGTGGCGGGCACCAGCCAAGGCAAACGGCGGCTCCGGCAGCCGGCCCTGGCCAGCGGCTGCGGGAGGGGGCAAGCACTTACGGCGATTTTGTTCTTAATGCGACTGAGTTTTTCTTGTGCCTCCGCCAGCTCAGCGTTGGCCTCCTCTAGTGCCCGCCTCTTGGGCTCCACCTCGCAGAACACCTCGTAGAAGCGGACGATGTTTAGGCACCAGGAGCACAACCCCGCCGCCGCCGTTGACTTCGACATGATGAACTCCGGGTCAAAACTGGGGTCCGACTGGTAGGGCCTGGAGGGAGAACGCCCCACGCTATGACACCGCGCTGCACCTGCCGGTGGCCCCGGCCCGGGGCTTGGGCTGCCGATGGGTAGCAGTGTGGGAGGGCAGAGCAAATGCCTGGATCCCCCTCCCGCCCCTCGCTGGGGGGGTCTCTGCCGGGGCGACCCTGCGGCAGCGGGCTGGGATGGGACAGGAACCGGCCACGGACTCACTGGAATGCCTTGAGGCAGGCCTCGGGGATGTGCTCCTTGTCAAACCTCTTCAAGGCGTCAAGGAAGGTATCTACTTTTCCCATCATGACTTTTGCTGCCTGCCAGCTCTTGTCCTTTGGTATCTTGCCCTTGGGGGCCGTCAGAACCATCACAGCCGCTGTCACGTTCACCACCGCTTGGGGCGGGGACCCGAAGGACTTCAGCTCTGTCAGGTTGTTCTGGGAAGGGACGGCGGGGACACTCAAGCATCACCCTGGCGTGGGGACGCCGGCATGAGCTGGGGACCCGCTCCCCACCGAGGGGTCGCCCACCTTGTTGAGCGTGTTGAGGGCCTCCTGGGCGGCGACAAGCGCCGGCTCCGCTTTCGCCAGGTCGGTCTCACAGGCTCGCTGCTTCTCGGCCACGTTCTGGGGAGGCGAGGGGACAGGGCAGGGTGAGCGGCCGATCCGACACAGCTCACGCTGCCCCGTCCCGTGTTGGGCCCTGGCGGGGCGGGCGCCACGCACCGTGTTGATGGCCTGGACTTTCAGCTCCTCCTCGTCAGCGATGGCTTTCTCCCTGCTGACCTTCTCCGTCTCGACGCCCACCACGTGGATCAGTTTATCCGCGTCCTCGTTCTTCTGCTTCAGCTCCGTCTCCTGCACCGCCAGCTTGGCTTTCAGGTCATCCACCTTGGCGGAGGGAGAAGCGGAGAGGATCGGAGGGCTGATCCCGCTGAGCCCTGCCCAGCATCCCAGCGGTGGCTCGGGACGGCTTGGGGGGCCAACGGGCCAAACACACACCCCCCGTGCCCCTCCATGTTGGACCCGTGGCGGGCGCGATGCTGTGGGCAGGCACCTGCGACGTCGTGCTCTGCAGCTTTGTCAGCCCCTTCTCCAGCCTCTCGATCTTGGCGGTGAGCTCGCTCCTTTTTTTTGACAGCAGGTTCTGGTAGAGCTTGATCTGCTCCAGGAAGGTCTTTGGCGTGGTGTAATTGTAGCGTCTCTCCATGGCCAGGTAGGTCTTGGACATCTCCTTAACGCTCATGTGGACGTGGGACATGAACTGGCTGATGGAGACCTTGATGTCGGCCTGCGCCAGGAGCACAGATGGTGAGCTGCTGCGCCACATGGACACGGTACCAACGCCGGGGTGGACCCGAGCCTTCCCACAACGCCGGGGTGGACCCGAGCCTTCCCACAGCGCCAGTTCCACATCCAGCCACAGAGGCCGGGAGGGAAAGCACTGCTTTTTGTTACACAGTGCAATGCCTGGCTGAGAAACGTAGGGGACCACGGCACTAACGACGCTGTGTTGTACGCCCCTCTCTGGTTTCCCTAATCGCCCAGGTTGGCCTGGGCTGCACCAGGGAAAAGCTGCTCTTCCCAGGCTGTTTTTTGTGGCGGTGTTTGAAGGCCAAATGGGAAACAAGGAAAGATTTGTCCCCGCCTGCATGGTGTGGGGCTGCTGGCTCTGCACCCAGAGCC